CCCCATCTGACAATGTTACCTGGTGAGGTCTGCAACTCCCACCCCCACACTTCCCTAGTGATGCCACTGGCCTCTGCCAATACTGAGTCCTCCCACTGTGGAATAATCAAAATTTATTTAGTCTGATTGGTGCTTGCCAAGCTTCAGTTACTAGAATCATCTTTTTTATTTTTGCTGTATCATCATACCATTGTATAATTTACTTAAACATTGTACTGAAATAAATTTAATTAATAGTATATGTATTGAGTTATAATAATCACAATTACATGATGTTAACTATGTGTCGGGCAGTCTTCTAAGCTCTTTATATGTATTAACTCATTTAATTCTCATGACAGCTCCATGAGGTAGGGACTATTAGATCTCTATTTCAAAGATAGAAACAATGAGTCTCTGACAAGTTAAGTAAATTGCCACGGTCACACAACAGATTAAAGACCTAAATAGGAAAAGGAATACTACTACGTTAATAGAAGAAAATACAGGAAATGTACTTATGGGTGGGGAAGGAGCCCTTAAACTACATTTAAATAGCATAAAGCAAATACAAAATTTGATGAATTTTATTACTTCAAAATCAAGGACATTTATTTAACAAAAGTGTCTTAGTCATATAGTGCTGCTATAACAGAAATATCACAAGTGGATGGCTTTAACCAAAAGAAATTTACTCTCACAATCTAGGAGGCTAGACGTCTGAATTCAGGATGCCAGCTTCAGGGGAAGTCTTTCTCTCTCTGTCGGCTCTGAGGGAAGATCCTTGTCATCAGTCTTCCCTCGTCGAGGGGTTTTTCAGCACAGGAACCCCAGGTCCAAAGGATGTGCTATTCTCCAGGCTCTTGTTTCTTGGTGGTTTGAGGTCCCCCTGTCTCTCTGCTTGCTTCTTTCTTTTATATCTCAAAAGAGATTGGCTTAAATTGTAGATTAAATTTGTAGATTGAGTTTACATAACTGCTGCTAATCCCATCTCTTTAACATCATGGAGATAGGATTTACAACACACAGGGAAATCACATCAGATGACAAAATGGTGGACCATCACATAATACTGTGAATCATGACCTAGCCAAGTAGTCAGATATTTTTGGGGGACACAATTCAATCCATGACAAAAGGATACCATAAACAAAGTGAATACACAGATGAGAAAATGACAGAAGTCATTTGCTCGTGGAACATTAACCAAGCTAGACTATATGCATTTGCTAAGATAGATCATATTCTGGATGATAAAAGAAGTCTCAATAAATTTTAAATGATTGAAATTATATAAATCACGACAAAATTAAATTAGAACTCAAGAACACAAATCTATCTGGAAAATTCACAAATATTTGGAAAAGAAATAATATGGTCAAAGAAGAAGTTGAAATGGAAATCAAAAATTATTTTGAACTGAATGAAAATAAAAGCACAACATATAAAAATTTGTTGAATGCAGCAAATGTAGTCCTTAGAGGAAAATTTATAGCACTAAATGCCTATTTTAGAAAGGAAAAAAGGTCTTAAAACAATGACTACAGCTTCTACCTTCATAAAATAGGGCGGTGGGTGGGAAGCAAATGAAACCCAAAATAAGCAGAAGAAAAACATAATAAGGGTCAGTGCAGAAGTCAATAGAGAAATATCAAAGGAAACAAAAGCTGCTTCTTTTGAAAAGATCAATAAAATCTTTGCATTATAACTATGATATGGGAGGAGGGAGGAGTATGGATTATTTAAAAGGAAGAAATAAAAAAAAATAAGAGGGGGGCTCTCTCCCTCTCCCTTGTGCTAAGATTGTGTGCAGTAGCTCATGGGCTGGAGCCTTGGCCAAGGGGCTGGGGGTACTTGAGTTGTATACAGAGTTTCGAGCCATTGGTGGCCATGAGACACTAGGCTGGTATGTTCAGAAGAATCATCACTCATCGAGGGATTATGTAAAAAAAGAAAACAATGACAACTATGGGAGCTAGTTTTCTTATTAAAAGAGAAAGCAGTTTCAAATATGAAAAGAAGGAAGACTAGAAAGAACAAAGTTATGTAAGATTGGAGATATTGATGAGAACTCCAGGTAGACAGATAAATGATAGATAGATAGATGGACGGATGGATGGATGGGTGGATGGGTGAGTGGATAGGTAGGTAGGTAGATAGATAGATGCTTGTACATATATGTGTGTCTGTGTTTATGCATACGTAGATATTTGTCCTAGCTCTGTTCACAGAGAAGGCCCAGATGCAATAATACTCCACTAGCAATGAGCACACTTCACACCCACATCTGGGTTTCTAAATATCAGTGTCTGATGCAGGGAACCAGCCTAATTGCAGAAATGTCTGTTTCCATAGCTGGGATAGGGAAAATGCAAGATGAACCTGGAACTTCTTGTGCCAAAGGAAGCGCTCCAAAAATGATGGGGGACATAGCAAAAGGACATAGGAGCCTGCTTGAAGGGCTGGGACAATGTGTGCATTAAAATAAATAATGACAATATTAGACAATCTCTGATTGAATAAAAAAAAAGAATCCTTACGTGAATACTGATAAATAAATAAATAAGGGAAAAAGAGAAATTTCTACTTTGCTGTAGAATGCCAAATAATAATAGTAATTTACTAATAAGTACAAACCACCTTAGAGTGGAGAAACCTGGCAGGCACCTTCTTAAGCAAATGATGGAGGTCAGCATCTCCAGTCATGGGGCAGCCTGACTGCACGTGCCTCCTGATATGATACACTGAGAAGGCAGCATCCCTTCTGTGAAATTCCTGCCATAGTAGCATAACCCGTATCTAATCGTCTGGAAACATCAGGTAAACCATCTACCAGGTAACTGTAGTCTTCAAAAAAAAAGTCAAGGTCAAGAAAAACAAGAAAACCCAAGGAACTGTTCATGACTGAGACTGAGATAGAAAGGCATGAATGCTCCTGGATAATAGAACTGCAAAGGATGTCATTAGCAAGGTGGGCAAAATTAGAATAAGGGCTGTAGATTTGATGGTGATTTTGTGTCAGAGTTAGTTTCCTGATTTGGGTTAAGTGGGAAAATGTCCTTGTTGTTAGGAAAAACCCTGTGAGGTACTAAAGTGTGATGAGGGAGGCATCATATTTGTAAGCTACTCTCAAATAGTTCTGGGAAAAAAAAAGTAGTGTCTATCTTTATGTCTATACCCATACTGGAAATCCTGGTTGTGTAGTGCTTAAGAGCTACAGCTCCTAATCAAAAGGTTGGCAGTTCAAATCCACCAGGCACTCCTTGGAGACCCTATGGGGCAGTTCTGTTCCATTCTATAGGATTGCTATGAGTCAGAATCGACTCAATTGCAACAGGTTTGGTTTTTTTGGTTTATAGCCATACCTATACCCAACCCTATATCCATACCTATACCTATACCATACCTGGAAACCCTGGTGGCGTAGTGGTTAAGAGCTATGGCTGCTAAACAAAAGGTCGGCAGTTCGAATCCACCAGGTGCTCCTTGGAAACGTATGGGGCAGTTCTACTCTGTCCTATAGGGTCATTATGAGTAGGAATCGACTCTATGGCAACAGGTTTGGTTTTTGGTTTTATAGCATACCTATATCTATTGTTGTTTTTAGACTCATAGCTGCTGTCAAATCAGCCCCCTGATTCCTGCAGCTTCATGCACAATGGAACAAAATGCCACTTGGTCCTGTGCCATCCCCATGATTGGTTGAGGATCTGACCGTTGCGATCCATAGGGTTTTCATTGTCTGATTTTCAAAAGTAGATCACCAAGCTTTTCTTCTTAGTTCATCTTAGTCTGGAAGCTCTGTGGAAAACTGTTCAGCATCATAGCAACATGCAAGCCTCCAGTGAGGGACAGGTGGTGGCTGTGCATGAGGTGCACTGGCTGGGAATCAAACCCCCATCTCTGCATGGAAGGCAAGAATTCTACCACTGGACCACCCCTGCCCCCATCTATATCTACATTTACATCTACGCCTATATCTGTCACCTATATCTATCCATATAGGACAATGGAGAGGAGGATTAACATTCTAAGAGAGGATATAGTTGGGTACTGGGATTACAGGTGCTTCCATTTTCTTCTTTGTGCTTTTTAGCTGTTTCCAGTTTCCTGCAATGGGCGTGTATTACCTTTGTAATAAGGAGAGAAGGACAATAAGCATTACTGTAAAAACGGAATTGTGGGATGCTGTGAAACATTCCTCATTATGATATTATGCCTGTTGTGGATCAAATATTGTGTTTTGATGCAGTTTTATTTTCACTGTTTTCCCAAAGTAGTGGACAACTGTTTCTTAACTCAATTAAGCTTGTTTCTCTCCATGCCACAGAGAGGGCTGGCAGGTTTATGAGTAGAGAGCCGACGTGCATCTTGACTCCCAAAGCCTGTATTTGTGTACATCTATGTAAGCCTATAGGTCAGAATCGACTCGATGGCAACAGGTTTGGTTTTTCGTTTATGTAAGCCCAGTGCAGTGTGATTCCTAGGCAAACGTTTTCCAGACCTTCATCACACAAGCTTCTTTTCATAAAGACGACATGTGAACCCAGGATCCTATCCCTTTACACACAAGTTGGTCCTTGCCTGAAGGGGAGGGAGACTTGGAAAGAGCACACCTCTAGTGTCCAAAAAAGCAGAGCAATCAGCCCAGTGGCATCACTGTCTCATAAGGTGGGAGGTGCCTTGTAACTGGTAGATTCCTTCCTCCCCTTCACTGTGCTGGCACCATGAGCCATGGCAGCCCCCACCCACCATACCCTGGGCACTGCTGACATCCATGTGTATCTGTGTCTACCATGGCTCAGGGGGCTTAGAGTTTGAAGGGAGCGGGTCCTCAGTCACCATTGCTGCCTTACATCGATTTGTGCAAGTGATAATGGGGAAACAGGTGAAGTAAGTTAGGGTGCATCCTTACCATGGCATTTAGTGTGGACACCAAAAGCAATGCATTGAAAAGATTTATTGACCTGGGAAAGTGTTAACAACATACTGCTCATTAAAAACAACAACAGAACAGTGAGTACAGTTGGAGCCCATCTTTATTAGAATCATAAATATGCATGGAGAAAAAAACAAACGAGAAGAAAACACATTCAAAACTGTACAGCGGTTGTCTTTGGCTAGTAGGATTATGGGTGATTTTGTGGTTTGTTCTCTTTGTGTTTTCAAGCTTTCTTAGAAACAATTTTTGCTATTAGGAAAAAGATTTTTAAAGAAATATATATCTGAGGGAAAAGGGAATGAAGATACGATAAATAGGAGATCACTAATGAGAGATGAAGTGGTGAGGGCATTTCAGAATTGACGAGACGGCAACAGGTTTTTAGTTCTTTAAGCTAGTTTGAATTAAAGACCCTCTCAACCTCTTACATCAAGACAGACAGCGTCCACTCCACCTGCCTTCAAGGGTAGATATCTTCTAGATATGTTCCTTCTTCCCAGCCTCAAACACTGTCAGGTTATATCACAGGCCATTTACCTGCTGGTGGCTCCAATGTGGGAGACGAACTCTGATCCCTGAAACCAGAAGAACACCAACCATACCTCTATTTGCCTGTTATTAAATTCTAACATGAAGCAGTCACCCATCTAACAGGGAAGGGAGATTCTGGAAAAATATTCAAAAAGGAAAAATGGTTATTGGAAACAATGAGTCCCTCCCCTCTATGGCTATTTTCAAGAAGCACATATTATATGTGTATGGTTCATGTTTAGTGCACTGCATGAATTGCTTGATTTTAGTGACTATAAAAATCCTCTCAAAGGGCTTTCTTAGTTCCACTCCCAACAATAGTTCTCCAGTCTTATTTCTCACTAGGTTCCAAGTTCTTCCATCATGACTTCTATGTTCCCCAGGGTTTCCAAGAGCCTAAACCCTGCAGTGGGGGCAGAGGTTGGGGGGTGTGGGTGGGTGGGGAACTGCTGCTGGCTACTGATTGGCTCTGGGGTCAGAGTGGAGTCAACAGTGGAAATCACTATTCTGAAGTTCATTGGGGTGGGATTGTGGGGTGTTGCAGAGGCTTTGTTGAGAAATGTTAATGTGTACAGATCTGAAATCTTGTTTAGGCCCTAGCCCGTGGCTCACAGTCTTTGCCCAGTCTTTTGGCATGTCCCGTTTTGCTCATTCATCTCCCTTCCACCAGGGAGAAGTTCATGGAAAAGACCCGATCAAGCCCCAGAGGCAATTTAGTCTAGACAAGTTTGAAGCTCCCTCTCAATCCCAAGGGGCTGCAAGTTCATGCTTGTGTCAGGTCAGATACTGGCTGGGAGAGCAAAGTTGCCTCCCATCCCGGCTGGTATGGCTGCAGATCACTCTTGCTGGGTCCTGGCTCCACCTCCAGGGGGCTGAGTCAGAACTCCATAGATAGCTCATGCTCCCCTGTGGAGGGAGACACAGAGCTGGCCCTCTCCAACCTGTCCGTGGAAAGGAAGGGAAAGCATTTAGCCAGGTGCACGTCAGTGAGTCTGTGGAACAGCTGGCGGAGGTACTTCCGGAACTTCTCGCCAACGAAGACATAGATGATGGGATTGATGCAGCAGTGTGTGAAGGCAATCACCTCTGTCACTTGTATGGCAAGGTCCAGATGTTTGCTCTGTTCACACTCATTGGTGAAAAGAGAGTCTTGGAAAGCAGAGACTAACACAGCCAGATTGTAGGGGGTCCAAAAGAGAAAGAAGATGATCATGATGACAAAAATCAGACGGACAGCTTTGGCCTTCCTCTCATTTGGTCGTCTGAGCAGAATCTTTATAATCCCCGTGTAGCAGACAATCATGACCAACAGAGGCAAAACCAGCCCCAAGATGTTCAGTTTTAGAGCCTGGAACTTTTTCCACCTTTTTAGGCTTTCATAAGGGAAGAAAAGGCTGCAGGTGTAATGAGTGATCTCCCACTGGGTCTTGGAAAATTGCCAGCCTGGAATTGATGCCAAGATGGCCAGGGCCCAGGAGACGATGCTGCTTATGATACCAAAGGTGATGGTCCGGGCCCGCAGGGAAAGCACAGCGTGGACGATGGCCAGGTACCTGTCGAACGTCAGCAGGATGATGAAAAAGATCTCACTGTATAAGCCTATGTAATAAAACCCTGAGAGGAATTTGCACATGACCTCACCAAAAGCCCAGTTATCCTTCAGTTTATAGTCAATCCAGAAGGGCAGCGTGAAAAGGAAGAGCAGATCAGAAATGGCCAGGTTGAGGAGGTAGATGCTGGTCACGCTTCTGAGCCTCTTGTATTGCATGAGGACCAAGACCACCAGGATGTTGCCAACCAGGCCAGTGACAAACACCAGGGAGTACAAAGGGGGAAGCAGTTGGGCCCCAAAGGCCCTCACCTCCTTCTTCTGACACGGGGTTGAATCTCCATAGTCATATTCTGTGGTCATGTCATAGTCCTTTGTGGTGGTTGTTATTTCCATCCTGGCCTCTCCTATGGGTCAAGGAAAATTGTTTCTGTGTTTACTAGACTGTTAAAGACAGTGAGCTCTGGACACCAAAAACAAGGCAGTGGTTACATTTCTTCATCCACTTGACAAATGCTTATTGAGCACCTCCTGTGTACCATGTCCTGGGGACACAATGGGGAGCAAGGGAGATGTAGATCCTCTCTGCTTTTGTGTAATCTATAGTCAAATAAAGGGTGCTGATAATAAACAAATGAGTACACAAATCATTAATTTAATTACTTTGGCAATGAGTGTGGTGAAGGACAAGTTCAGTGGGTGGAGAGCACATACAAAGGGAGATCTTACCTTGCTATTCATACTAATGCTTCCTAAGCGCCTCCCATGGGCTAGGCATTGGACTTAGTGTTAAAGAACCTGTGAGGAGGTGCGATTATTGTTCCTCACTGGAAAGATAATGACACAGAGGTTCAGAGTAGTTAGGAAACTTGCCCAAGGGCGCACAGCTCATGAGAGTAAGAGCTATAGCTCAAACCCAGGTATGTATTACTCTCCAGCCCATTCCTGAAACCACTGAGCTTTCCTGCCTCTGACCATGGAGTGATGACTTTGCACCGTGAGTCCACAAAAGAATGTTCAGAAGTAAATGGTTTTGGCTGAGAGTCAAAAACCACTAGATAGCTGGTCTTTATAGGATTTTCCCTAGCCTCTGCATTTTAGCACACCATTTCAATCCTTTCCAATCCACCTAATGAAGTCCTCTTCCCAAAAGAAAAATGGACTTTGACGAAACTTACCAACTGTGTGACCTTGGACAAGGTCATTCTGTATTGTGGGGAAGTGATACTTAACTTGCAGGGCCACTGTGATGTAAGGTATCAGAAATGCACCCCCTGGCACTTAGCAGGTCCTCAGTAATATCAGGACACCTCTTTCCCTGCAGTGGCCCTTCTCTGAGGTCTGTCACCACCAGAATGTCCCAGGCTCCAGTCCTATTCTGGCCAATGTCCCCCATACCCCAGACCCTACCTGCCAAGCCTTCCTTCTCAGTAGCTAATCTGGAAAGTGAATTTTGCTTGACACTGAGGAACAATGGTAGTCTCTTCAATGTGAACTTCATTTTGAAATTTTCAATATGCTGCCACCAATCTAAATGGATTTGACCCAAATACCAGTCAGGTAAAGTAAGTGATAACTGCATCATAATTCCCATCTTGAGCCCGGGGCTTCAGTGCTCTTCTTTTTACACTGCTTAACGGATGTTTCTGCCTTACAAAAATCACATTTCTGCATGTGACATTAATGCACATGGAGAGGGGTGGGTGTTGGCCACCCTGTCAGCTGGAAGGAGAGATATCCTGTTAGGGTGGGGAGTCAGGGACTTTCACTTCCCCTCAAATCCATTTCTGTGGCTCACTCCTTCCAGGCTGGTAGTCACTAATGAAGCTGTGTTGGCAATTTCTGATTTCTGCTCCCAATGCCTGTGCGAACGAGGGCAGGCAGCTCGGTTCTGCAGTCAGCATGTTTGGGGGGTTGGCAGGTTTACAGTGGAAGCAGCAACCAGCTTGGGAAGCACAGAGAGCAACTGGTGCAAGGCTGATCCTATAAGCCCAGTTTCTGGGGATTTTTCACTAAGGTGAGGGCAAGCCAAGCCAGCATCCGCAGGTGCCATTTTGAGTCGCCTCCTCACCTTCAAACCCCAACCCCATTAGCTGTTTCCCCAACTTGTCAGGGTACTCTGATCCTAAAGGGAGATAGCCTTATCCTAAAGAGAGATTGAGGAGAAAACAAAGGACCATGTTGCCCCCCAATCTGCCAGTCCTGCGACAGTCTGCTGCAAAAGTCTGGCCCCAAGGTCCTTGCGCAGTGGTTAGCTGTAGTCCTGGAGCCTGAAAACTTTCAGTGCCAGCGTCCTCCAGCCTGGTTGTTGGTGAAGTCTCTGGGCAGAAAAAGGACAGTGGGTGATTGTGAAAGGACCCAGGCCCATTGATATGCTGGAGCTGGTTCATGTGAGCCAATTGTGTGCATCTCTTTCTAACTCCACATTCAGTATGTTGGTAGTTTGAAATCAACTCTGATGGGAGTATTTACAACATGGTAATTGGCAAGCGCTACAAACAAGGTCCCTTATTTTCAGGAGAGCCAGGTCATGAACATTAACCAGTACATCACTGCCCAGGCCCTACAGTCTGGATAAGTCAGAACTGTCTTGCTACTAAGGGTGGGGACTGAAGAGATCGGGGGTGGTGCACAGCCTGGTGGTAGGTTATGCAAAATCCTGGGAGTTTCCAGTTCTTTGGACTCTCCAAAACCCCCTGTGGAGGTACAGTTGAAGTAGGCAACTCCATGTGGCCTCCACGTCCCTGTATTATTATCTGTCATGAGTTTTTCCCTACTTGACACAATTTCTGGTGACTGGATTCAGAACAAAATTCTTACTTGCCTCTTTGTTACTAGAATAGAATGAATGTGTCCCAAGAGGTCATCTGGCCAGCTCTCTGCCTTTGGATGGATGAAATCCTGCCTCCTCCAAAGAAAAGTCAGCACTCTTCATTTTGAGACTCCTTAGTTCTACTTTTCTTAAGAATTGATTCAGTATATAATCACTCTTGCATCGCAAAGTTCTTCCTAATTAATATTTCCCCCTTGTTATAAATTCTTCTTACACAATGTTTGCTTTTCCTTTCCGTAGGGAAATTTGTCAAGCAATTTCTTCTTGAATTGCTTTCCACAGAAAACATCTCATGTCCCTTAATACTGGGCTGACGTTTGTTATTCAGTCACCAAAAACCAAACATCTAAGAAAGCTTATTTTTTAGCAAAAAAGCATTTCACATCTGAGCACCCAGTCTTATAAATTCACCCACTCTCAGTATTGCTGTACAGAAATGATTCCTTTACAAACGCATCGGTGGGCTACTTAGTCACTTACCTGGCTCTCAAAGAATTCACCACCTTCAGGGAGATAGATAGGTAAACAAATAATATCCTACAATGTGAGTGGACTGCAGTCCCGTCAGCTGCTTGCACGTCTTTAAACAAGACTGCCCTAAACAATAACCGACAAGACAGAAAATAGATAAACGCCACTTACTCTGATTCCAAGAGATTTTGTCCACAAAGTCTTTGTTCCCACAGCTTAAAAGAATTTATGAATTCGAAGTTCAAGGTCCTGACCAAGTAGGAAATACTTGGCTTCCTGTGTGATAAAGGATTACTGGTTTTAAAGACTTTCAGAATGATACAAACGAGGCGAAGTTCTTCTTTTCGTATGGTTAGTTGTACATGAACAGCCACAATTCCCAGCAGTGGTCAGTTCCTGGAGGCCAAGTTTACTACAAAAATTTTCTTTGCTGGCTCCACTGCACTGCCAGTCCTCTCCCTGGGAGCTCTGCCTTAAAGGAATTGGATAGGGTGGTGGTGGGTGGGGTAAGGTGGGTGAGATGAGGTGTTCCCAGAACATGTGGAGCAATCAAAGGCTGGGGTTATGAGGGGCAGGGCATAGAGTTCTTGTGGCCAGCAGACAGCCTTTTTTTGCTTTTGTTTTTTTGCATACAGAAAGATTTAAACAGGAACCCTGAGTCCTGTTCCTCAAAATGGGTCTGGCTGATGTGAGGTCAGAGAGAAGTAGCAATTCTCTTTGGTGCCCCCTATCACCTCTACCTATGACTGCCCATTGTCCCTCTCCTCTCTGTTCTCCAGCACCCCCACCCCCAAAACCTCAAGGAACCTCTAGCCATTGGTTGGGTTTAGGTCTTCCTTTCTGTCTCCCCTCCCGCTTAGACAATGGTTACACTTAGGCCAGGTTCAAATCCCAGCTCCTCACCTATCACAGGAGCTAATCATTACATCTTTCTCAGGCTTGGTTCTCCTTCTGTCAGACTGAGAATCCTGAATACTTACACTTGTGGGAGGATGTGTGATGTCAGCCTGTGCACGAAAAACACTGCAGAGTGCCTGGCACAAGAAAATTATATGATCTTGTTGGGTTCTATTGGATTAAACTGTGCCCCCAAAAAATATGTGGTGTAAATCCTAACCTCTATGCTTGTAGTTGTAATCCCATTTGAAAATGAGTTTTCTGTTACATTAATGAGGCAGGATTAGTGTAGGGTGTGTCTTGAGTCGGTCTCTTACAGACTTAAAAGAGCAGATTAGGTAAACAGAGACGGGGGTGGGGGGAAGAGAGATGATTGCCTAAGTGTAGAAGCCCAAAGGGATAAGGACCTTCCTCCAGAGCCAACAGAGAGAGGAAGACTTCCCCTTGAGGCAGCACCCTGAATTCAGACTTCTAGCCTCCTAAACTGTGAAATTAAATTTCTGTATGTTAAAGCCACCACTTGTGGTATTTCTGTTATAGCAGCACTAGATCTAGGTAACAGTTTCAACTCATCAACTCATAGCAATTCCATGTGACAGAGTAGAACTGCCTCATAGGGTTTTCTTGGCTGTAATCTTTATAGAAGCAGATGGCCAGATCTTTCTCCTGCAGAGCTCCTGAGTGGATTCGATCTGCCAGCCATTCAGTTAGCAGCCACGCACTTAACAGTTGCTCCTCCAGGGCTAATTGTGATTCTCCCCACAGCTACCAACACTTGCTCTGCCACTGAGTCTCCATCTCTTCTTCTGTAAAATGTGGACTCTCTTAACCTTTCTCATGGAATGGCTGTAAAGGGCCATTTCAGGAATCATAAATGTGAATGTGCTTTGAAAATATCACTTGTCCATTCAGGCTCAGTTTCCTTATCTGTAAAATGAAGGCTTTGGACAAGGTAGCCTCAGTGTCTCCTTCAACTGAGCATTCCATGAGTCTTCTGGGGTTGGGATTCCCCTTTGGAAGCTTGCTCATAGAGGAAAATCAGTAAACCAGTTGTCATCCAGTTGACTCTGACTCATGGTGACCCCATGTATGTCAGAGCAGAACTGTGCTCCATAGTGTTTTCAGTGGCTGATTTTTCTAAAGTAGATCACATGCATTTCCTCCGAGGTGCCCCTGGGTGGACTTGAACCTCCAACCTTTCTGTTAGCAGCCAAACACATTAACCATTTGCACCACTCAGGGACTCCACCTATAGAGGGAAGAGGGAGGCAAAAGGCAACTAGATTGATAAATACAAATCTGGACCTAGGAACTTGCCACCTTTGAGCGCAGGCAGACAGCAGGGTGTGAGGGGAGAGACAGTAACGAGCCTTTCAAGCAGACAGACCTGCATTCAAATCCTAGGTCTGCCTTTTACTGACTTTGGATGTTATTTAAGCTCTCTAGTGTCTCTTTCTTCTTCTGTAAAATGAGTAAAGAGGATTAAATGAAATAATACACACACACTATACATATATATGATTTAGCATAGTGCTTGAGACATTAAAGAACCCTGGTGGTGGAGTGGTTAAGAGCTATGACTGCTAACCAAAAGGTCAGCAGTTCGAATCCACCAGGTGTTCCTTGGAAACCCTGTGGGGCAGTTCTACTCTGTCCTATAGGGTCACTGTGAGTTGGAATTGACTCAATGGCAACGGATTTTTTTTTTAATCTTAATTTGGGTTTCTCCAGAAGCAAATCCTGAGATGAGGATTCAGGTACAAGTAGTGTATTTGTAGGAGATCCCAGGAAAGGGATCCCACTGAAGGGGAGGGGACAGTGGGCCAGGGAAGGGAAGAAGCCAATAAGGGGAGTGATATCAAGCCACTTACCACCATGGACAAGTGGAGCTCAGCTCTGCTAGGGAACTCATGGAGACACCTGAGAGTTATTCCAAGCAGGGGGTGGGAGGAGTAAGGAAACTTGGGCATTTATCCCTTGCATCCCGCCCACTCATCACTGGTTGAGGGCCACTTTTTGCGGTATTCTCTGGCTTCCAGCCTGCCCTGCATGCTGTCCAGCCGGCTCCCCAGGCAGAGCAATTGCGTTTGCAGGAAGCAGCCCATAGAGGTGTATTTTGAGGCATGCAGCGCACAGCATGGACAGCTCCTCTGGTCCCAGTAAGTTCAAGTGTGTGCCAGTCAGAACAGCAGTGCTCCCAGTCCTACACCCACTAGCCAAACTGGGGACTTTGACAAACTGATCACCTCCCAGCTTTGCCCTTACAGTAGGAAATGGGGAACATACATGTGCCTGGGCAATTTGTAGCACTTTGTTGACAGGTTGTTGTTGTTGTTAGGTGCCATTGAGTCGCTTCTGACTCATAGTGACCCTATATACAACAGAACGAAACGCTGCTTGGTCCTATACCATCCTCATAATTGTTGTTATGCTTGAGCCCATTGTTGCAGCCACTGTGTCAGTCCATCTTGTTGAGGGTCTTCCTCTTTTTTGCTGACCCTCTACTTTACCAAGCATGATGTTCTTCTCCAGAGACTGGTCCCTCCTGGTAACATGTCCAAAGTATGTGAGATGAAGTCTCACCATCCTTGCTTCTAAAGAGCATTCTGGCTGTACTTCTTCCAAGACAGGTTCGTTCATTCTTTTGGCAGTCCATGGTATATTCAATATTCTTCACCAACACTGTAATTCAAAGGCATTGATTCTTCTTTGGTCTTAGTTATTCATTGTTCAGCTTTCACATGCATAGGAGGCAATTGAAAACACCATGGCTTGGGTCAGTCCTCTCTACTCACTTGGGTTAGTCTTTAAAGTGACATCTCTGCTTTTGAACACTTTAAAGAGATCTTTTGCAGCAGATTTGCCCAATGCAATGTATCGTTTGATCTCTTGACTGCTGTTTCCATGGGGGTTGATTGTGGATCCAAGTAAAATGAAATTCTTGACAACTTCAATCTTTTCTGTTTATCATGATGTTGCTTATTGGTCCAGTTGTGAGGATTTTTGTTTTCTTTATATTGAGGTGTAACCCATACTGAAGGCTGTAGTCTCTGATCTTCATCAGTAAGTGTTTCAAGTCCTCTTCACTTCAGCAAGCAAGGTTGAGTCATCTGCATATCGCAGGTTGTTAATGAGTCTTCCTCCAATCTTGATGCCCCGTTTTTCTTCACATAGTCCAGCTTCTTGCATTATTTGCTCTGAGGTACATCTTTCCTTACTTTTTCCTGGAGGGTTAGTTTCCGAAAAGACCAGAGGGTTGTGAGAACTGCCTCTTTGTTGGTGGTGTCTAAGGTGAGAGACATGCTTACGGCCATTATATCTCATCCTTAATTGGCCTTCCTGCTCTGCTCTAGGTTTTTGTGGTACTCAAGCCAGGGAGAGGACACATGAGGCAAATGAACATACTCTTTTACTGATCAAATATTTATTGGGTACTTGGGATGTGCTGGACGCTGTGCTCCTAGCTAGCGATACAGCAGTGACCAAGAAAGGCAGGCACATTCTTTGAGAGCTCACATCTTAGTTAGGATCACAGACAACCCAACAAGTCACTACAATAAGGAACAATTTATATATGAACAATTGTATGGGAAGTGCTCTGGGCCATGAAAGCGTGTACCTGGGGTGGGAAGGAAACTTAATATGGGGGTCAGGGACTCCTCTAGCCCAGTGGTTCTCAAAGTGAGGTCCTGGACCAGCAGCATCTGTACTGCCTGGGAACTTGCTAGTGATGCAAATTCTTGAGTCCCACACCAGACCTACTGCATCAGAAACTCTGGGGGTGGGCCCTGCAATCTGTGTTTTAACAAGACCTCCAGATGATTCCGATGTGTATTCAAGTTTGAGAGCGATGGATCTAGATTTTAGCTGGGACTTTGGTCCAAATCGCACGTGATCTCTCCCTAGGAGAGCTGGGCTAGATCAGACGTGAGCTGGGAAGACTTCTTTCACTCTTTAGTTTGAGTCCTGAACATGAGGCTGTTCAGTGGCCTGCTCTGTCTCCTCTTCCCTGATGCCCACACCCAGGTCCCCCATGGCCTTTCAATGGTGAGAGGCAATTTCCTCAGCAGATGTGTGCAGATGTGCACACACACACATACAAATATCTTACCTCAGCATATGTGTAAAATGGAGGAGAGTGGAGAAAGACAAGAGGGAAACCAGAAAAGAAGGCTGACCTGGCCCCCATCCACTTCTCTTTGGGGCCCCTGGCTCCTTTCACTAAAAGCCTGCAGTGTGCACTTAAACCTGCCATTTGTCCTTGACCCATCCAGTTGTGTCTCTTCCTTGGGGTGAAGGGGCAGGGGTAGGAAGCTGTGATCATGCCAGAGAGGCTGGAATGGAAGCCCAACACAGGGCTGCATCTACCCCAGGACAGCATTCCACCTAGCCCTGGCCAAGGCAGGGGAAGAAATGCAAGGTATCCTGCCAGAGGCAGGCTTGGATGGCTGCACCTGGAACACTGGAGAGCCCACTGGCTGGGCTTTCCTCTGGATTCACCTCATACTCAATTCCTGGGCCTACCTTCCTGCCATGCACTCTCTCCAAATCAGTGAGGTGGGGGACTGTGGAGC